AAGATTGGTGAGAGTCTTAATTTGTTGTTCTTTTTTTAAGCCCATCTTCTCTCTGAGCTACAGAGTGCTTTTCAAGAGAAATAAAGAGGAATTTTGTGGTCTGTGTTCAGCTTTTTTCTCACCAGTCATGTCTGGCCTTTTAAATCTGAGACAGTCCTGAAGAAATGATTTGCCTGTTTCAAATACACATTGAGTGAGTGAGAAAGTAATATTTCCAACTGAACTCAGTTTCTGTGACACCTTGTGTTTACTTTAGAGGTAAAAATTTATTGTCTGGTCTTGCACTAGTAAAATATTTGGAAGACCTTGAGAGCACTGTAACAACAAACAGAACATTCACAATTCCCCTGATGGGCCGATTTTACTAATAGCACACATTTGGTGAAAATAAATTCTGATGTACCAGCAAGATTCCAGATGAAAACATTACTGCACCTGCAGGTTTTAATGGGTACAAAAAAGGGGAGAATATGAGGTACCAATTACTCTCATGAAGCCTGAGAATTTAGGATGTTTTTGGCAAGGAGGCTTGTAATTCCAACATAAAATTGTGCACAGCATGGAATAAACAGGGCCTGCATTATTTGTCATGAATTAGACAATTTTTGACTTGTAAAACTGAGAAGGCTGAATGAGAGAGGTGAATCTTTAATGCTGGACCTACTGCAAAGTTAATTATAAGTAGTATGTCTGTCTTACAGATTTAAGGATGTACAAGCACTAGTGAAACATTGTAATTAAATACCAGCTCCCAATCCAGGGAGTAATCTAAATATGGCAATAATTGGGTAGTTAAAAAATATGCATTGATGAGAAGATGATTATTATATGCTGGAGAATTTCACTGGTAATTCTATTCTTCTAAAATGAGCTGCACAGAATTCAGCTGCTCTTTAACTTAAATTCCCCAGCAAGAGAAGAGCAGTCAGTTGGTGGGTTGGAGCCAAATGCAGATGACATTCCTTGCTTTATTCTAATAAATAGCTTTCAAAAAAAGCTGTGAATGACATCGCAGAGACTCATAAGGTCTTAATAGTTTCAGAATGTCATTCATAGATATTGAGAATATCTGGCCATTTTGTTGAGGTAAGAAGACTCACACTGGTAAGTAATTTTTGTTAACATTTGTCTTGAATGCAGTGAATGTCAAGATTTTCTGTCTCTGGGAATGAGGTGAGACTTTTCAACAAGAACTCCAGTTCCTCACATAGAAATAGTGTGTATGACACTTCAAAATGGAGGGAACAGCAGGACCTCCGGCATTTGTATTTTGGGATGCACAGAAACGACCTTTGTACACTGCACCCATCACTGTCTCCTCTTTGCTTGCTTTGGTGGGAAGCAGCTGGGCTAAGGGCCAGGCTGGGGGCTTGCCAGCGTACCTGCTGGATGTGAGCAGTTCAGCAGCCTGTGATTGGCTTTGGTAAAATGTTACTAAAAATCTGTTTACCAGATCTTCAGGCCATGTTTCACCCTTGGGAGTGTAGCACCTGGCTTTTACTGTATCATATAAACAAGAGCCTATTAGCTAAAGGAAAGTTGAGGAAAACAAAATGCTTGGGTTGGGGGGTGGGCGGGTAAGCGCCCCACACTTAATGCAAGGGCTGAAGTACTGTTTGTGCTTGTTTTACGATATACTCATTATCCTTCTTCCCGTAGCCTGCTGTCCCGTGTGTGTTCCTCTCTGCTCTCTGGTTGTGAAGGCCCTGCTGAGCCAGTGTGGATAAAAATCACTCCTGACGTTTCTTTTCAGCAATGGTGATGTTATCTGGGGTTAAGCTAGGGGAGCAGATAGGGCCTCCATCTCTTCAGCTCTTCTGACATCTCTGTGAAGAAACTGCATGTACCAAATGCTCTTGTGGATTGAATGCTTGATTTCCTCAAAGGATGTGTTCAGCCTGATAGCGAGACAGGAGTGTCACTGCTTTCAGGTTGTAGAAGCAAGAAGGTTCTGGGCTGGCTGAATGAGCACTGGGCAGGCATCTGCCTTCAGCCGCTGCTGAGTAAGTGGCCCCTGCAGCTCTGGAAAAATTAAAGTGTAGCACCTGAATCTTCAAAACCGACTCAAAATGGAACTGCATATAAAAGGTACTTATGTGTTGCTGGTGGCCATCCTTCCTGCATCGCAGCTGTGGTAAGAGATGAGACATGTAATGTAGGCAGACTCTTCAGCCTGAGTAACTTCAGGGCCCGGTTTTAACAACAGTGTTATGCACTGTGAAAGCTATCATCGGTGCTGCAGTTGACTTGAAAGCAGTGAAAGTTGCCTCTGCTTTTCATTCAGAGCCCAAAACTGCCCAACAAGGGGGCTCCTGAGGTGTCGCAGGTACCTGCATCTTGCAACTCTGAGCACCTCATATGTGAGGTTAAGTATCGAGCTGCTTAGGTCTTTCAAGAATCAAAGTATGGCTAAAGCTTCTTTGTATCTGTAGGCGCTGGTGCTGAGAATGGCGTTGCTATGGTCTCAGGTGTCTTTTGGCGCTATGTGCAGTTGTTCTGAGCAGCTTACTGTTGAAATCAAGCCTGTGTAAAGGTTAGGTACCTATTTGTTAGCTTTGTGCACACCAGAGCCTTATATGCATCTTCTGTCATGTACAGAGTAATTGGGTCTGTCTCTACTTCACATTTGATAAGGTTTAAGCTGTGTTTAATCAATGCAACATGGTACCTAGTTCCAGGTTTTATTTCTAACCATGTCAGATTATTCCGTAGAATTGACCCATATTTAGAAACACTGTGTACAGCAGTAGTCTTAATAGCATCAGACTATCTCCCAAATCATGGACATGTGACATATGGGAGAGTCCGGGCTGTCATCTTGGATTTTTTTTCTTTTTTTTTTGTTCTTTGTTACTGATGTTAATGGTCAGACTTGTGTTTCAACCCACCATGCTACAGTAACAACATTAAAGCAAAAAATGTGTAAGGCATGGCTACTAAAAGGACCTAATTTTTGAATCTTAGGGTGACTCCTGCTCTGCCCTGTTTATGTGCTGTGCCTCAACAAGGGAGCTAGGATGTGCCTTTCCTGGCGGCCACCAGCAGGACGCTGGGGTTCACAGCACACTGCTGTCCCCAGGGAGTTATACTCCAGGGACCAGTGGCTTGAACTAAGTCAGAAACTGTGAGGCACTGCATTTTCTTAGGGTGCAGTACCAGAGGCTGTGCAGACGGTAAAGTCTCTTACAGAAGATGTGGTGCTGGGGGAAGGCGGTGTTGCTGGGCCTTGGGCTGCGCTAAGCAGATACAGCGGCTTGCTGTAATTCAAATTTGAAGTTAAAGATGTGAAAATTAAAGGCCTATGTGAGGCTAACTGAATATGGGAAAGTTTTTAGAGCTTTCTATAGGTGCCTGTTTGTCCTGGCTCCATGCAAGGAAGGGTTTAGGGAAGACAAAGCAGTGATGGTTTATCTTAGTAGACTTCCATGCAAAAGCCCCCAAGGCAGAAATGGGGCTGGTGGCTCTTAGTAAGAGGTCTCCACCCACCTGTATAACAGTCATCCTTCATTTGTAAAGAAGCACTTCATGAGAAGGGTGGTGGGAGGAGATCTGCCAGAAATGGTCAGAAGGGAGCAGCTGAATTCAGTTTCCTCTTACACATCACTCGTGGATACTGGAGCAGACACCAGTACACTGCACTGAAGACCGTGTTTCAGAGGGCTGTACATGAATATTCTGCTTTTGCCCTTGTGAACATGAGCAGAATTTTGCCTAGGTATTGCTGAGTTTTACAAATAATCAATTCATCAAGATCTGAAGTAAAAGAAAAACAATAGATTTCTCAATTTCATGAGGCAGAAGCAAGTGAAAACAATTCAAAAGAAAAAAGAAAACCCAAAAACTGCTGCCACACAAAACATACTTGGATCATTTTATTTTCACTAGGTGTTATTTAGTTCTACTACTTATAATCTTAAGTGTGGCACAGTAGGAAGCTCAGAATGCAACTGTGTATCGCCTAACAGTAATGAGACTTAGCTACAGCATCTCTTGTTAAATCTTTTCTTGTTAATTGGGACAAGACAGCCTGGCTGCACATCATCGTGTTGAGAATTAGAAACAATCTATGGTAGTTACAGTAAAGAGGAAGAGCAAGACACACAATAGCTGCAATTTTTTTAATTAAAAAAAAAAAGAGAACACACCATCTGTGTGTTTAGATGCTATCGTAAAGATGTGTTGTAGCCTTTTGGCTTCCAAAGTAGTCATGCATTGCTGTAAACCAGTGTTTCTGAAACTTTGTGAAAGTGTGGCCTCCCTTTTTGCATTATCTGTCTTTATATAACTATTAAATTGGCAGCAGCTCAGTTTCTGGGGGTGGGAGAGTGGGAATCGGAATGCTCTGTAATTACTGGCTACCAGTGTTTATGGACACTGAGCTGTGTCCAGCAATTAAAGGCATTTAGCTGTTCTCTTCCCAATACAAACACTCCAGACAATAATTACAGTCTCCTTTGCACTTTCCTGTTCTTGAGGAGGATACCCCTGGGCCCTTTTGCAACTCCCAAGGGGGCTCTTGCCTGGAATTTGAGAAACACTGCTGTAAACCAAACAAACAGGAGCACGAGATAATACCTAAGAGCAGCTGTTTATGCAAAGCTGCTTTCTTTGCAAATAAGGTGCACCAAATGCTTTGGAGGCTTCCCATGCACTGGATACTTTCTTTTCTCACAGTTGACTTTTGTTAATCTTTGTAGCATGGCTCGTTCACACAATATTTCAGTATGGCTGCATGCAGTATATCAATCTGTGATGCTATGTTGCTGTTCAGAATTACCACCTGCATAACATGTTAAAGAAAAATAAAAAAGAGTTTTGCTGTTGGAAAAAAAAAGATTTGGCTCTGATGTTACAGTACATGTTGTATGTCACTGCTTCTGTTCAAAGTTGCCTTTTGCTATATGTTACATATCAAATACCAGTTAGTTTGCATGCAAGCAGCTGTTTACTTATAGCAGGAAAGAGATGTCTTGTGTGCTTTTCACTGAGTTGTATTAATATTTCCCACTGTATTCATTCGTCATTCCAATTGTTCCAGGGGAAGGAACGTTAAACAGGTTGTATTCATTATTCTAGGATTTACAAGAACCTGAGATGAAGTGGCACTGTGTGTTTTTTAGGACATCTTCCAAGCCTACCTATGCCACGGCCTTTAGCTGAAGAACATCTTCCTGGTAGTATTCTTGTGTAAAAGTTAGAAAAATAAACATTTGGAGGTTGCTTGTTACATTTGAAAGAACCTAAACACATGTGCAGCTCCCTGACCTAACTCTGTCTTTATTTAATTCTAAGAAGCGTGCAGCTCTTGCACTAGGAATACTCCTTACTGCTCCTCAGACAGGCTTTGCTGAGAAGCGGTGTCTTCCAGGGCCATATCTTCTTGGCTGGCCCTTCTGCACTCCAGATTCTGACTCATGAATATGGCATGGGCCGGACCTGCCTCTTGACGCTGTCTAGGTTCTGTAGCATCGGTTGCTTCGCAGGTCTCTGTGAGTTGCTGGAAAGACAGAAAGAAGGAAAAAGTTTAGGAAATTTCTAAGTAACACTTCAGCTATTTTTTGAAGTGACAGGTGAAAAAAGTTAGAAGTTGATTTAGGAATGTCATTCTGTGAAACCACATGGAATTCTTAACATGATTCAAAAGGGACTTCTGAAGAGGTACCTGTCACACTTTGTGTAATGCATAAATTTGGAAAGAAAAGCAGACCAGGAGCTAGAGGTTTAGTACCACAGGTGTACATCTATAGAGAGCTGTAAAATGATTTGGATTGAAAAGGACTTCTGGAGGTTATCCAGTCCAAACCACTGCTCCAAGCAAGGCTGACTTCAAAGAAGTTAAACTGGGTTGCTCTGGGGCTTGCTTTATACACCGAATTTTAAATACAACTTACAAAGAAAACTTTTCATCAAAACTGGAATGTAATTACCAGTCTGAAATTGTTACACGCAGTGTCACCCCACTGTAAGGAGTTCATTAGTGTACAAGCTTTCCAGAACTGTGCTAACATTTAAATAAAACACTTCCTCCTTACCGCTTTCAATCATACAGGCACCTGAACTCTGAGCAGTTACTCTGGCCAGGACTCACCTTGTCTAAATTTAACCATGTCATCTTAGTGTATCACCTAGGCTGTCAGTGGTTGGCAGAGAGATAACGGTAAGATCTCCCTGACAGCTGCAAGGACAAAGTGGACTGTCCTCTTCATTGAATACAGAGGCCACACCAACAAACTACTGAGACTTCATGCCTAAATTTTAGATGGCTTAAAGTTAGATGAGATGAATCCTACCATTCGTACTCAGTATTGCAGACTGGCTGAGTCCTTGCAAATTAGGCTATAAACTCTTGAGAGTTAGAATTCTGCCTTGTCATCTGATACGTTCAAGCTGTACATGCAGAAATATTATTAATGCTCGGGGTAATAAAGTAGGATTGGACCCAGATGAGTAACGTTCAGTCAACTTCTGTTGAAGTTCATGGCAAAACTCCAGGGAATTACACCATACATGGTATTTTTGGGTTGAGAGCAAAATACACACAGGCTAAGGAGCTTTTTTAATTTGAGTTTTGGAGAATTCTTTGAAAATTAGGGAAGTTACACAGAGTTCGGAATGATAGTAGCAGCAAAGTGTTTTGGACTTTCCATGTCCACAATCTTCTCCTGTTGCCAATTTGGTTTCCATTTTAAGGCCCAAATGCGAAAGTCTGTCTTAATTGTGTTGTCACTCAACCTCTAGTTGCAGTTGCCCTTTATCTCTAATCCATCTTCTCACATACCACCCTGTAGTGCTGAGGTGAAAGTTTCAAAATTCAGGAAAGCAACTGATAGCAAACAAAGTTAAATAAATATACTTAAGTACACAATAAAACAATAACACTGCTATGTGCATTGAATTTTCCAGGGAAGATGGGAATAGAACTGGGAGCCTCCTAGGCAGAGGGCTGGAAGTTCTTGGTGTGTACTGTTTTGCTGTTAGAAAATGCTAAATTACAGGGCATGCAGGTTTCCTTCAGGAAATATTTCCTACAAACTTCCTTTGATTAACCCTTTCAGCAGCAAGGTTTTCAGGTCCTGGATTGAATTTCTGGTCAGAGAGAGGGACAGAACAAAGTGCACTGTTCAGTGGGAACCATTCCTCTTCGTACAAATAATTAAGTCCTGGGTAAGCAAGCAAGGAAGGAGCTATTTAGTCTGCTTATGATGGTACTCATAACCTGGACTGCAGAAAATGGAGATGTAAGCCCCTGGGTCTGAGTGAAGGGAAAAGGGAATTTGCCCCAGTTTGCAATTTCAGGTGCATGCTTAACAGCCAACCTGTCAATTACTTACAAATACATCACTCTCATATAAATGCTAATATTAAACAGTCTCATTTTCATTGTAGCAAAATCCAAAACAAATACCAAAATCCTGATGTTGTTTTGGAGACTATTTTCTGACCAGTGAGAAGGAAGAACAAACGGTGGTGAGGACAGTGCAGGAACCTGATAGGACAGCAGTACAGTAGCTTGTGCTTAGTTCTGCTATTTTAGCTTCAGCCTTACCCGAGTTGCTTGACTTGCTGCTCTAGCAGATGGACCCATGGCGATATTCATACTGCTGGATGACTGGGTGTCACTGGTGTTACCTCCATCTGCAGCTGAGAGCCCAGAAATCACCAAAGCACTTGAAAAACTTCTCTTGCCAAACAGCAGGCTGAGAGTTGAGCTGGTGGAAGAGGCCAGACTAGACCTGAGCATTGCTGCAGCTCTGTCCTGTACAGTCAGCTGGCCTGCAACAGGAGCAGCAGGGGACTGGGAAAACACAGATGTTGCAGAGTTGTGGAATGACAGCTGACTACTAGAAAGCCTTTGGGCAATTTCGTGGGCAGATGTAGATGTTTGGATGAACGGCTGGCGGCTTTCTACGATAGGTCCAGAGTGACTTGAAGTAGGGAGCCTTTGGTTTAAAGCAGTGTGTGCCTGGACAGACTGACTCCTGGGTTTTCTCCTGCCTTTAAAAGAAAGATTAATATATTTAAGTAAGTGATGAGCTCCATGCTATTGACAGTGTCCCATGTGTACATATTACTATCAGTGTATGATTACTGGTTTTACCAGCATAAGAATCCCAAGAATAACAGAAATAACAAATTGCTAAACCTATGAACCTTTCTGTGTTTTCCACTACAAAGGTTCTGGCTTTTGGTCAGAGTAGCTCCAGTGGTTCTGCACTGAGTCAAATGAGAAGACACCCCCTGGAAAGTACCCTAATCACAGGCTCACGACTATTCTGCCCTGTACATTTTAACCTGCCCAGTGAACGATTGAGCATAGTGTTCCTGTAACTCCACTCCCCTTTGGCAACCATGCTAAAGTAGGGGATGTTGAATATCCACCTTAAAGGGCTTGGTATAATTAAATGCAAAAATGAAACCAGACATCTGTGAGTTAAAACAACGGCACATTAAAAAGAATTATTTGAAAGAGAATTTGAGAATTCAACCAAGTGGAAGACTACAGCATACAAGTCACAAGGCAGTTTTTAAGACTAAGATTAAACTGTATCTGAGTTTTAAGAGTGATGTTTACAGTATATCACAGACTGAAAAGATGTAAACACCTCTAGTTAGGGTAGTCTGTGGGAGGTCTGAATGAGACCCACTAAGGCTCTTGCCCCATTCTGTGAAGCGTCTCGATGCAGCCACTGTTGTATACAGAGGGTGGATTGCTACTCTGACATGCCCAGACGACTTCTATCTTTCTGTACGTGTACACCTCCGTTTTTAAAGTGTATATTGACAGCTTACATAATTCAAACAATTTATGCTTGCATATGTAAATAGGCATAGAATGAAAAATAAATCAACTTATTGGCCAGTGAACCCACCAGATACCTGCTTGCACCCAGACACTCTGCAAATGGCATACAGCTGTCTGGCACACACCACAAGCCCCGAAAGCGTTCACTGTTTCTGCAGACAGGCTCTAACCCAGGCTCACACAGCCAATACTCAGGCATGTGAGTGCCTGCTTGGCTTTTTTGCTTTCCAGGTAACTCCAAACACTAATGCAAGCTGGCATTTTGGTTTCCTGGCTACAGCTGTGGGGTAGGGAGTTGATGCCAGAAAGTCTGTTGAGAGCCATCAATGCAGGAACAAGTTTTGCTGGCAGGCATTTCCAGGTTGTTGGTAATTTTTTTTGCTTTTTTTTTTTCCCCGGTACCTAAATTATGGAGGGGAGAAAAGCACTGAAACTCCTCCCAATACTGAAATTTTGCAGGCATAGAAGAATATAAATCTCACACTGCCTTCTAGAAATATGATTGTTTTCTGAATTCATGAGGGATCCAGTACTGCAGAATTTCATATCCGAACCATTTACGTTATATAGCAGAAACATGCTGTTTTACGTCCACAGACCTGCTTTCCAGAGGCTGGTATCTTTAGCCCCTTTTTTTGAGGTGCTGAAGCAAAGAGAATTTAGGTAACTTGGCACAGAGTCAGATGGCAGAGCTGGGCCACAAACTAAGTGTAGCTGCTTCACTGGACCAAAACCTAGTTGGTTTGGTGAACACTGGACACTTTCACACCCCACTTCTAATGTACTTTCGTTCTATTTTTATACTCTAGCAATAAACAAAAAAAAAAATTTTCCTAAGATGGCATGCAAAGCAGCGTTCTCTGTAATAAGAGCCCCAAGCTCTCTGCTTGAGAGCAACGAGACAGATGCGTGTGGCTCCTGTGTGCCATGCTGCCAGTGTCCCCTGCGCTTCAGACCTGACCAACAGGGAGGGGACGTGCTGTGCTGGGGGTCAGGCCTGGCTGCTGCGCTGGCAGCCGTGCGCTCATCTGGCCTCTGCAGGGATTCAGGTTTTTCAAACTCCAGGGTTTTGTTTAAGTGCTTTAGTTTCTACATCTGATGGTTATTTTAATACATTACCCTTTTTAAATAAAAAGAATGGGCAGGAATTAAGAACAGAAGGGCTGTAGTGTGTTAGTTTGTGCAGGGCCTAATGTGGCCAAACATCTGTTTGTGATTTAAGCTGCCAAGCTGACCCCTGTCCAAAAGTATTCTATATTCGTCCCAAATGCAGTGGTTGGAGCGTTGGACAGAAGACCACCCGCGTCTACACATAAATAACTCTGTCCTTGAAAACACTTGGAAACAAGGGCTGTTCTGTAAACTGCATCATGAAATAAGGACACTTTGGGGGAGAACCCCACACATTTCCAATGCTCCTGATTTTGGCTGCACTTTTATATAGGGCTTTCATTGCGTTTTGCAGACTAAATGGTACCAGTCTGCAAAATTAAGTATGAAAACATTAAATGCATTTGATTCATAGATTATGAGTCTAGAAGGGATCGCTGTGATCATGTAGTCTGCTGTGCCATACAGCATGGGACACTGAACTTCCTGGAATTAATTCCTGTGTGGTATTACTAATTACTACGATTATTATAAAGAAATGCATCCAATATCTCCAGTGATGGAGAAGCCATCTTGACCCTTAGTCACTTGTTCCACTGCTTATTTACTCTAACTGTTAAAAATGTGCACTTAATTTCAAATCTGAATTTGTTTAGCTTTGTTACATCTAAGTCTGCTCAAATCAACTGTCTTTGGTCAACTTTTGTTGCCCAGGTAAGTACTTACAGACTATGATCAAAGCATCTTTTACAATATAAATTGTTTGAAAGCTCTTAATCTCTCACTACGGGATGTATTTCCCAGATCTTTGATCATTTGTTGGCTCTTCTTTGAACTCCTTTCAAATTAAAAATGTCCTCCTTAAATTAGGGCACTCGGACTGTGCGCGGTAGGCCAACAGTGTCCTGAACCAAAGTCAGATTGACGGACGTGCATTACCCAGGTCACCCTATTCACTCTGCTTTTTTAACAACAGGCATAGCATAAGTTCTTTCCCAGTTGTCAGGTATTGCCTTAATGTCCTGACACTTACTGAAGATCAAACAGAGCTTGCTTTTTAACCAGCTCTCTTAAAAACCTTCTTGAATGAGAGTCATTTGGATTTGCTCAATTAAGCATATAGCTTTGATAGCCACTCTTTCATGTTCTTTGTAGCTGTCAGGATGGAAGGAACTACTTCGTGATCAGAGATCATAGAAATGGATCATCTGTATTTTTCCTCAATACAAACCAGACATTTCTTTCAACATTTCTACATTATTGGCAACTCTGCCTTTCTAGTGATGGATTGAGACCACTGTTAGGATTTATTTTGATTCTAATAGTCTTTAAAAATAAACAGACACAAACCCACTTTCATCTTTTTGTCCCTAATGGTACTAGCCAGAAACTTTTCCTTCTTTAATTCTCTTTATCTTATCAACGGTCTCTCAGGACTGAATACTGATTTGCATTTGCTATTTTGCACTTTCTCTCATTTGTTGTGCATTTCTCCATTTTACCTCAAAGCCAGGTTGCTTTTCTGAACTAAGTGCAGCCTTCTCACTTGATTGTAGTTTTCTGGGCACCCAATACGTTCTTTTAAACAACTGACAATTAACTTTCATTCTTGTATGGCATGCTCAGGATCATTATTTTACAATTAAGTTTGCCATTCTGATTACTGCAGTGTCAAGTTATGAGCACGCACAGGGGGATTTCTCTAAAGCTAGACTCAATTAAAAGCAGCAGTTATTTTATTCTTACAACATGATTTATATTCAGGGCAAGATTTTCTCCAGTCCTGTCCATTATCTATATAATGATAGATCAAAATGATCTAACAGGAAACAAACAAGTGTCATACCCCTCTTGTTCTCTGTTTAATTTATACGGTAATACCACAACTTGTTGAAAGGTTGAGTTAATTTGCTTTACAAGTCCTGATCCCACAGTGGTAGGTCTCACAGTGACCCACTGCCAAACTTAATGTATATTTCCAATGTGAAGGGCAGGAGTTCTACCTTGTGAATATGTCTGAAGTACTTTCAAATCCATAATTTAATATGAGAAGGGCTCAGCTGTTAGTTGACAGAATGATTGGCAACATTTAATTTTCTCCTGCTAACTGATGTATAGGCATAAGAAGTTATTTCCTATTTGTTTGTTCTCCACATGCACTAATGAACAGCCAAACCAATTTCTCAAATAAATTGTCACGGTCCTTCCAAGATAATTAAGAATATTGCATGCTTTCACTTCTGTTATTCCCAGCCAACAAGAAGCACAGGTTCCTGCTGGTACAGGCTCTCTGCGTTGCACACATAGACTCCCTCCCATCTGCATTTCTCATTCCAGCATTGTTAGTGGCAACTCCTAGTCCAAAAATTACACGTAAAGGTGTTTGGCAGTGGAACCTTTGGTGAATCACATTAGTCTTATACCCTCCCAGTAAACACCTGGACCAATATCAGGAATCCATCTCCTGCATGTGCTTGGTCATTGGGAAAGGCAAAGCTCTGTCTTCTAAAATTAGTTTTCCACTGGATATGAGCACGCCCCAACATCATCTGCCTACACGCCCCCTCAATAAACTACAGAAAAAGCCAAGTAAATTGTGCAAATACCTGCACGCTGGTGGGCCTCTTGAGATGAAGCTTGCAACTGAGGGGTTCCATCTCTGGTGGGCTGAGAGCTACTGCTCTGGCTTGAATTGCCTGTGGAATTGCTGCTAGACGAAGACCGCCCTCCACTCTCCACCTCGTCAACGTTACCTCTCTCATGCTGAGCTGCGTGGCAGTCCTTCCGCATTCTGTTTGCAGGAACACACACGGTCAGCCATCTATTATGCAAGAAACTTTGGGCCACAAATGGTAGGTGCCCTCAAAATGTGTAATTGTATTCTCTCATACCAGTGCAGGTCTTTTGACATTTTTTGAGATGACAAAGATGATGATCTGGTAATCTTACTTGGAACACAATTGTATATGACACAAACCAAATTTTTTGTTGTCTGTGTTAATGGTTTTGGAACCCTGCCAAACCTTAGGACTTTATCGGTTACAGTGGTCTCTAAAGATCAACTTTTGCATGAGGTAACCAAGTAGCAAAGAAGAGAAATGGGCTAGAGAGAGCTCAGTGGGAATGAGCTGCTTGGTGGGAAACTAGCATATTAAGCTGCTAGATTTAATCTTGGCATTTTAGCGTCGGTCTTAGCCTGCAAGCTGGCTCCCCTTGTCTCTCCACGTCCTCTGCCTCTCCTCAGCCACAGCGATGATAGGGCAGGTGGAGGGAATGAGACAAGAGTGAGTTATTGCTGTATGAAAAGTGCACGTAGGAATAAGAGCTGGAACATGTCAGATACTGATCTTGCATACCTAGGGGAAGTCAGGCACTTTTGGTGGATAGTAAGTACATTTTTAGATGTGTTTTGGTTAAGAACAATGATTTGGGGATGATCATCTATACTGCCAAAGCTTTGGAGCACAGCCCACCACATTTACTTATGTGTCACTGAGTTACAGAATAGATACTCTTATTTACAAGGCCTAAACAGTAAAATTTCCTGGAATAAGGGAAATGTCTGTAGTGCTAAGCGATTTGATAATGAATCTTGTTGAACATGTAGAAAGCTTTGCTTAAAAGCATGAATGACTTAATGAATTTGCTTTCTGCTATATCTATAGTGCTACTTTGTATATTCTGAGTTATTTGCAATTAATTTATATTCATACATAACAGTACGGAATTACTCTTTTTTAACAGAAAATACAGTGGAACCGAGACTGCAGGGTCTCTATGTGCATAACCAAAATTTAACACCTACCTTAACCATTTGGATCTGAACCACTTTTTAATGTTGTCCAAACTGACAGGTCCCCCCCAAATGTTCCTCAGTTGGCTGTGTGTCCCAAGGTACGAGGTGGTTAAAGGGGAAACGTACATTGGATATCCCAGTGGCTGATCACATGAAGAATTAATTAAGTTCCGCAAGACCTGTTTGTTGTTCTGGATGCTTCCTCTCTCCGGGTTACGATTGCGTAAGAAAATCAGCTCCTGCTGCTGCCCAGCCCAAAGTCCTCTGACGCACTCCTTGTTGACCTACACGTAGGTTAAAAACGTGGATCATATGAAAACGTTTGTTACTGAAGATGCAGAACTACAGGAGCTAGGTAGAACAGCAGTAGCTGTGTGTGCAGGCACCTCATGTCTTTGCACCAACAGGTTTTATGAACTATTGCAGCTACTCCCTGGTAAAGCCTGGAATGCTATTTCAGATACACAGACATGTGGGTGCAAAATGGAGCTGCTTTAGCCTCCAGTCCCTCTCTGATAACCTCTAATTAACCTCTTCTTCTAGTCAGATTACTCAGAAATAACATTAGTTACCACAGCCCTAAATTACCGCAATATTAGAAGGATGGTACGTGTACCTTGATAACCTTGAAGCTCAGGTAGCTTTTGTGGAGCATGATAACTTTATATTCATCTGCTCCTTCATCTACCACGTGTCTCAGGGTTAGCAGCTCCTCTCTGTTGGAGAGTACAGCGCTGCGCCAGGCTGGGTCCCCTTCGTGACAAATCACAACCTTTTCTTCAAAAGATTGGATCGCTTCGTACAAAACTGCTGGGTCCTCATACTCATCTGGGCAGGTGAACTGGTCCTGGTAGTACAGGAAACAATATCAAAAAGGTCAGGTATATTTGTGAAAAACAGAAAAACTATTAACAATAAACAAAATCCTGTTTTTCAAACAGTTGCCAGCTGACCCCCAAGTGACTTGCCATTTGATACAGTGTGTCCTTGGGGAGGTAGAACAATTAAGTTAACAACAATATAGAAGGGTATGATTTTTGTTTTATTTTAAGCTGTTCTGAGCTTATGTCTCCACTGGACAAAGACTTGGAGAATGCCAGCTTTTCCACTTTCTTTCTGTGAAGTGGGAAACCACAGGAGGCAGAGCTTTTGGGTAAGCCAGAGGGAGATTGGAATCACCAGGGACGTTCCACAGTTCTTGTGGAAACCCTGATTTTTATTCATGATAAAACACCAACAAAAGCACAGACTGGGAATCCAACAGCAGATATCACAATATTGTGTTACTGCTTTAGTTGTCACACAGCCACACAGCCAGCGATAACATTCATAGAATTATTCTGTCAAATTCTCAGATATTAATTCACAGCAGTTCCGCTTCAGTTACATTCAGAGCAATTGCAAATATCATGCATGATAGAAGTGTATTGTCACTAAATCAGAACGTGCCAGAGCAAGAACAAAATCAACTCCAAGCTATACAGGGGATGACCTGAAGAAGCTGGAGCAACTTCAGTGGAGGTGTGCCAGATTTTTACAACTGAAAACAGAACAGGGTCAGAAGCAGCCTGACATAATCTAGTGAACAGCCCTGACCCTAACCCTGCAAACCACTCTCCTCTCAGCTGTGTCTTTTAACACATGAAAGTGTTACATGTGTATCGACATTCAGGAAAGGACTGCTAAATTAGCAACGAAATTAGTCTAATCAGTGTATTTCTTTTCAATATAGAAACCATCTTTATAGTATCCATGGAAGTAAAACATGACATGATTGTCAGTTTTGTTTTGATGAAAAATGCAGGGTCAAGCTCTGCAATATGAGCGGTTTCAAATGAGCAGCAAGGGGGTACAGAGAAGAAGACCAAGTGAATGCAAAATAAATAAATGACAACTTTTCCATTTTAGTTAAGGAAGTTTCTAAGATTAAGGCAAAACATTCTCCATTTCCCTTTTTTTCCTCTGGACATTTCTAAGGTTTCCTATGCTTCCCTAAGAAAACAGATAAAATAGTAAAAGTTAAAAATAAAAATTATAAAATGACCCTACCTGGTGCAGCTTCAGAGACATTCGGATTGCCGGGGCAACCACTTTATGCAGTAGATCCATGTCTGCAAAGACCCACTCATCTTTTGCTGCTATCCGAAAGTCTCCTTTGAACAGTGCATGGAGCCCATAAAGAAAAGAGTCCAAGCTGTAAGAGAGAGGCAGCGGTCACCCCCAGAAGTCATTGCCATCTCGCCAAGCCAGGCGCCTGCCAGCCGCCAGCCACGTGCTGAGCTGTGCAGTGACTGGTGGCCCTCTGGCACAGGGTGAGCTCCTGCAGTGGGGATAAAGCAGGGGTCACATCACATATTTCTAATGAAAAGCCATTCCTCGGGGTAGGTGGTTTTCTTTCTGCTTGCGCTGTAAATGACAGGCCACAAAATGAGTGTGGCACCTGTAAAAAAGGATGTCCTAAGGATGGGTGGCTGGGTCATGGGGTGCCTCAGGGCACTGCTGCTCCAAGGCTGTGCCAAAGAGATCAGGTCAGAGTGCCAGCTGCTCTGCAACCCCTGTGCAGGCAGCAGAAGCTGCCCCCTTATTTGAACGTTTATTGATTGGCCCTGTTACTCTTAGCAGTTCTCCTTGCAAGGTAAAAACTGAAAAAAAAACCCAAAACAGCTGTAAAAAATATTTTCAGCAAACTTGAGACTTTTGTCATGAGATTCAAACCCAGATGTGAACATTAAACCAGATGTACTAAGAGGAATACCGAGTTTCAGGAACCGTTGAACAAACCGGGTGAGAGCATGAATCAAATGACAGGCATTGCATTCTGAAACAGTGAGCCCTAAAGCCAATACGTGCTGGGTTTCTTTTTCCTAATATAAGAAAGTAGATGTAACCAGTTCTGCCTGACCGTGGATGACAGTTTGCCTGGACCTGAGAATTAAGCAAGAGGTAAAAGGTACAAAATCGAGTAGTTGTTAGAAAATGGTTGCACACTGGCTTTGTGAAGGGAACAACCAGCCTCCAGCTCCAATCTTTACTGCAGATCACGAGCTTTCCACAACGACACCACAGACACTCGCATTGTGCTTACATAGCGGGACTGCCATCCTAATGCTGCTCTGAAGAAGTCATCTCGAAATTGAGGAAAATAGAACCATCTGTTAAAAACAGACATCTTTTGCAAACTCACAGGACATGGTTTCATCTACCTGCCAAGATTTTACTCACTATTACAACAGCTGATTTTTTCAGATTGTAAAGGCTCTGAGGAGAAGCTGCATTAAGATGTTAGCGGGTTTTCATTACCACCCAGGCTTTCTCCAGAGAACGCATCATCTTTCCACATAATTGAGCTGTCTTAATTTTAGGAAAAGAAAAAACCTTTAAATTTTTTCTCTTCTCTAAGGGAGGAAGAAGAGAGACTGGGAGACTATCTTCAGCTCAGACACATTCTAATTTTGCCCTTGGTGGGTAGCATGCTTTAGGAATTAAAATGGAAAGATGTATATGTTGTTACAAGAAAAACAGCTGGATACTGATTTTCTCCGCAAAAGCACCGTGTAATACAAATTAACTAATCAGTGGGACCAAGACCTGTCAGGACAGCAGGGCTGCTGTCGCTGGTGGGCACAGGAAGAGTATGGGGAAGCTCCTGGAATTCTTAACTGATCTGCATTTATTAGTAGTAAGTTATGTATTAGAACATGCCTGTGTGAGTCAGGCACTTACACGCAGATCTTCAAAACATTCAAGCACTGATTTCAATGGGAGTTATTATGTGTCTTCATGGAGCGGGTCCTGATCTCCAGTGACTTTCAATCAATCATCTCCACAGTTTAGAAATTATAATATATCCAAATTTTGAATAGCTAGGAAAGCCCTAGAATAAACTAGTTAGGAGGAAAAAAAATGGAGGGTGCAGCCAGTGTGGGAAAATATGTGACTGTCATCTCCTTTGAAAAGGCTAGAAATCAGGACGGGTCCTTTCACTCACCCACCCACTAGACAACATCCAGCATACACAGCTGAATCCTTGCCTGGAAAAAACACTTCTCTAAATATTCTTCCTAGGATGAAACTGAAAAAACTACCCTGAACTCTGCACCTAATGATGATCCGCAGTATATTTTTTTCCCCATGTAACACCCCTTGTATTTGCTCTGAAAAGCTGTCTGGGATGAAGGGAGGAGGAGACAGGAGAGAGAACTGTTTTTTACATCATTAGAGGCTCTCAGAGCCAAATCTGAACACCAGAGCAGACAAAGAGTTTGCATGCACATCAAAGTGTCTCACAGGCATCAGCACATGCTAAACAGGCTGCTGTGAACAGCAGTAGCTGCTGCAAGCAAGGCCAGGACGAGGACAGCTATGCGAACGGCAGCTGAGCATCAGCAGAAGGAGCGGAGGGAAGCACGTAGAGCTCTCACTGTGCTTAGTTAGGGAAGACTCATCCATTTCTCATTCCTCGGCATAATAAATTCTCTAACCAGCATTTTTAAGAACAAATATGACTGCTACAAGGAGCAAAGCAGTGGTGGCTGTAGTTGTGAAAAGCTGAGAGTCAATTATTTTATATGTCGTATTTTCCACCAGATAGGTCTGGAGGAGATGCTGTGTTCACAAAACCATGGACATCTTTTATTCTCCTGCCAATCGTAATGAGGCTTTTGGGTACATTCTGCCTATAATGGGACACTATCTCAAGCCACGCAGCCCTTAATCCACATAAGATAGAGCTGTTGTTATTCTTCCCATTGTTATGCTCTCTCTTGAAGGCTCTAATAAGATTATAAGGAAGCTGTAAAGCCAACAGCTTTGATCTCAGGCCTGGCTCAAGGTTGTTGCTGCTTTCTTGGCCCAGTTTTAACGTACTTCAGTTAGTAGTTACAGGCTCATTCAAAATATTTTAAAAGCTAGTTAAGGTAAATTCATGTGCCAAAGAAACTACATTAATCAGGAAGAAACACAACTACTATTTCTGGCAGCATTTCTAACCCTCTGAGCTAAGAACCTGAAAAGCTGCTGTCACAACTGTGAGCTATTTTAGAACAAGACCGGTAGGTGTGTGGGAACCGTCAGCCCCTTGAACATGCAGAAAGGAGGGGATTAAGTAGCACCCCAAATACCAGAGAGAGGGCAACAGAGCCAAAGCAAATACTCCCTCCTGCTGCACTCCTTACATTGCTCCAACAGCTGAAACTAAAAGCATTTGATGCAAGCCTGAAAACAGTACAGATGAAGACTAAGGAGCCGGTGAATATAACTCTGTGTATTTTGCACACCTGAATCCATCTTCTGTCTGTGGTTTATAGACCCTTCCCAATGTTAACTGTAGATATATTTAAGGAATAAAGAAACATGCACGCCTGTGAGCTGTTAATGACCTGAATGTTGTAGCTCACCTGAATGAAATATTTTTCAATGGTAGCTGTTCTAAATTTGATATTTTAGATGATAGTGGTTGTGAGTTAAGAGTAAACTTTTCTCCCCTGCTTCTGCTCTGCTCAGCTCTGGCAGACATAAAGCTGCATTGTCTGCTTGAACTCCCACCAGCAACACTCCATCATCAGAGGCATTGTGGTGCCATGTCCCATGCCCTCCACCTCTTTCCCCTCAAATGCTGGGCAGTGCAACGTGGTGCCTGGGCTTCAGCATAAGCAGCAGTTCCTCCAGGCAGCGATGTTCCTTGGAGTGACCCTCTCTTCACGCTGAGTGATAGCGCCCAGAGGGAGCTGAGGGGACCTGAGCACCCAGGCTTGGTAGTGCTGGAAGTACCTGATGAAAGATGCTTTACTAAGAGTTTTTTATGTTTTTCCAAATTTGAAATATATACTAAACATTTATTTACTAGTAGGTCTAGTGGCTGAATAGGATTATAAGAATATTTTTAACAAATACACACTTAAACATATCACTCATATCTGAATACATGAATGGTAATGTCATGTCATTCTTCAAATTGCATTTTGTGCAGGATGCCTCCTGACAGTCTAAAAGAGCAAGTGATTTGCATAGCAATGTTCTGCCTTCTTAATGAATGCATTTATTGTGCAATCTAGTGTTAATGCTGGGTTTCTACTGACATTTACATGAACAGGTACACTGAATAATTATTTACATACATTATATAAGAGCATTTAAAATCTTGATTTACACAGTGACATTTGCTGATTAATAGATTAGACAAAATCATGTGTAAATGAGTGCAAATTGATAGTTTACATACACAATGTAAACTTGAATCTCAATTCTGTAGTGCACAGCTCAGTGTAACATTACCTTTGCATTACTATTTCTGCACAGCAGTTGGATGACTGTCACTCCTCAAGACACAGCAAGGGCTAGACTTAATCCAGAGAAAGATTCCTACTACCTGCACAGGTACCCCCGAGAACAAAACATGGACCACAGAGCACAGATTCTTGGCGAGTTTGCTTGTGTTGGACATATCTGAAACATCTCATAGAAATAAGCATCAGGAGGAGAAGACTACAGTGTCTATCTGGCTATTACATCTCAAACTCATCACAAAACCGCTAGCAATGGTGTACACAAGATGCTTTGCAGCCAGAATTAATAGAAAGTCCTGAGATGGAGTTCAAGGTCATTTCTCAGTGCCTACCAGAGCAAGCTAAATAATCTAAGTTTTTGTAGTCCAGCATTCAGATGTGACAGAGCTTGTGCTGGGAGCCCTGATCTCTTACAAAGTGAGCCACCTCCCACCAGCCGTACATCCCCCTCATGCGCACAGCTAGCTGTGGGATTGCCTGTTCTGACACCCTCTGCAGAAAACTAAAACCCTCTTCAGCACCAGTAGGCTCCAAAAGGTCCCTGAAACATCATGACACCTTTTCAAGGAAAAGGACTGTGAAGTATCACTTAAGGAACGATTCCTCCAGCTGCTGAGGACCGTAAGTACTTCTCCCCCATCTGACTGAAGGCAGATCTGTGACAGCCTGAGAGCTGGGGGCGAGGACCAGCAATAATGCTGTAAATCACCCTCCGTAAGAGCTGCTGTATCTGCATCAAACACAGAGAGAAGGGAGGGAGACCTGCCTTCAGTGCCTAAAGTTAATCCTTAGAAACATCTTCTGGCCTCAGCAGCACTGCACGTGTTGGACAATGTCTCCTTCCCCCAGCATACCATATAATTGCATTCCTGTCGGAGTCTCACTGACTTGCTGCTTCTTTGTCTTTAAATAAGCTGTGAAGATCTGTGTGAAGCAGTAAACACAGCAAGTATGGCAGAACTGCCCTCTGTGCTGAAGTGAATGTATGTGAGGAATTTTTGTTGATACAGGCCTTGACGTCAGGAGGTAGCGTACCCACCTTGCTCCTTAGTTTATAATTTCTACTAAACTGTTTTTGTCAATTAAAATAAATATATAAATTCTTTAAGACAAGAATAAATGTATTTCACCAAGCTAAAGACATGTTTTGTAGCCATAGCAATTTATAACTTGAATTGTGCTACTCAGATTCCTTTCCCCCCCGCCCCCAAATCTTTCTGACAGTTGCAATCTATTAAAGGTAATTTAACCAGCTGGGTAAGTGACACAGTTTTTCCACAGTGAAACTTTTCTAAGGAAAGCTTTTGTGAAGTAGCAGTGAAAAAGATACTGACAGAAGCTTCCACTTAATCCCTTTTGTGTCACAAAATACATTTTAAAAATACAGTGACTCAATACTGCCCTGGAGCACCAGGACTTAATTAAAGATATAGGATTTTATAGAAGAGATTCAGAAAAACAGGGATACAGCTGTGCACTGCATATGAATACTGCATTTTTTTGCCTTTCTGCAGACCTTTTCTCTCCCAGAAAAGTATTTTTGAGTATGGAGTGTCCCCTCACCAAAAGAGAGGAACTGATTTGGTTCACTGGTAAATTTCCAGATTTTAAAAAGACACCTGACTCCTGCAATTATTATTAGAATCTTTACAGAAGACTGCAAATAGTTTTCCTCAACATTCATACTTTCCGTGTTAAGTTTTAGAAAGTCTCTGATAATATTATCTCTTTTCATTAGCTACTAACTATGTAAGCCAGTACAAATAGGTGACATTGTTATTGTATCTGTACTGGTGCCACAACACTGTAACGAAGATTTTAAGATCCAGTGGGAAGTACATGCAGTGTGATGACAGTTTTAGGAAGTTTTTGTGATATTTTTAGATGCATTTCTAATATCACTGTGACATATCTATTGCAGGCCCAGATCAAAATCCCTTTAATCTTTTCCCAAAAAAAAAACCTATAAATGCACATCAAATTTTCTGTCATGTCCCTAAACTCTAAAATTTCAATCATCAAAAAAAATAGGTCAATTTTAGAAATATCGATGACTTAGTAAACATTACACTAATTTGAGTGCATAGAAATGAAGGGAGAGGAAACTCAACCCCAAAGAAAACTACTACAGGAAGGGAATGTGCGAAGACTAGTAGAAAAGAGATGACAAAAGCCACTTTAGAAAGCAGAAAGAAGCAGCACACCAAGAAATAAGCCATCTGAGCCACAAACATTTTGCGTGACTGACTGAAACAGGAAGACATAAAACCAAACATTACAAACGTCCCAATAGATAACAAAGCTAGAATAAATATTTAAAAGGACTGTTTTATCTTCTAACACAAAATGCATTCAAAATTGCACATGCTGTCTTTGTTTGCTTGTTAGTAAGACAAATCCTCTCTAAGGAGCATGTTGATAGCGGGCTAGCTAGCTTTCCTCACAGTTTTGTGCCAATACAGCAAGGTCACTTAGAAACTGTATTTACTCAACTTCTCTACTGCTTCTAAACTCCTGCGAACACAGGGAATTCAAATACATCTAATAAAAATCTAAAATTAGGTGAGCAGTTAGAATTTATTAATATACAATTACTTCATTAATAAAGTGCATTATCTATAGAACAGTGTAAATGGTACTTTATAAAACCCAAACAACTCAGAACTCCTAGTGAAAATGGAAGAATCCCTAATGAAAATGTCAGATGAAGAGCATATTCAGAACCAATCTTATCCAAGCATATTTTAATGAACTAGACTTTCTAGGAAGACGCGTTCTGAGTGAATGAATGAATGAACGAGCAAAGTAGACTGAGAACAGACAAAGCTGTGGTCTCAAGAGATGCAAGGTTCTCCCTTCCTCAGTCGCCAGAATGAAGTGACACAATGAACAGGAATACAGCCCTGAGGCATTCAGGACCCTTATGGATTTATTATTATTTAGCTACCTAGATGTCAGATGACTTTGCAGTCTCTTCCCCTTCTGGAGAAAGCCAGCACTCCAGTAGCCAGACCAGGCCTGAGTGAACGCAAGCAATAACCATCGGTACCCATGCTTTCAATGCAAAATTCTGCTTTGCCCTATGAAATAAAGTCATGAATTAGTTATTTAGCCAACTACCAAAGTAAAAGCCAGGAATGGCAGAAAACAGATTATTTTATGGAGGAAGGAGACTTCACCTTGATCTAATCTTTTGTTGAGATTCCACATTAAGTGAAAAAAGACAAACAGGTCTCTGCTTTAAGATGGGGAAAAAGGATTCCTAAAAAGTACCTGATGGCCATATTGTGGGCTGCAGTTCCCAAGGCTCTTCGACCCAGTATACACAAGGCAAAGGAAAGCGTCACTAGCGGAGAATCCTCATCGCTGTCCAGGTGCTACAAAGTTTTGAGAATCACATGTTATTCTAAATGCAAATACCATTTTAAAAGCACTGTAATAGTATAAATGGTAACATTCATACAATTTGCATGTAGCTGAACCTACACACAAAAAGATTCTTTGCAATTAACCAGAACAAGAAGGAAGATAATTGCCATCAGAGGCCTTCTGCAAAATACAAGCTTATTTTGCCCACTGGCTGGAAATAGAACATTTCTATCTCAGGTGGCAAGATCCCAAAGGAGCGGAGCTTTGGTGGTGGTGGGGTTTTTTATGGGTTTTTTTGTTTGGTGGGGTTTTTTTCAGATCTGACATTCTAAAACACAACAGATTCCTTATTGCTGAGAGATACTGCAACTGGAGGCAACCAAACAGCTTTTCATGGGACTCAGTGCCTATGAAACCCCACCACAGATTCCAGAACTATGTATTTGGAAAAGCTTGGAGGAACACACTTCTAGAGAATAACAATAAATATCTAAATTGTATACCATTGGTGACACTGACCTCACATTTTAACAAGCAGTCAAAACTGCTTACATTGACTTACATTGACTAGCTAGGAGAGTTTCTTTACTGAAATTTTTGCAAAAACTTTGCAATCAAGCAGGAGGAAAAAATTGAAACGACCTCTCATGAACGTGAATCTTTAGGAGGATACAGACTATTATTTCAGTTCATGCAGTGAGTGATTTCTTATAGCTTTGACTCTAAAACTGAAGCCAATTATAATGAAGAATGTAGCTCCTTCTATAAAATACATTGATTTTCAGGGCTATGTGTACAGTGAAGCTTTTTTTTATACCTTATCTGTTACATGAACTTTACCTCTATATAGTCAGTGAATTACAAAAACACAGGAAAAAGATGTAAAAAATATATCAACGTGTGTGTGTATGGGCACACTAGTGCAGGCACTTATTTGCCCTTTTAAGTCTAACTGATAAGTTTCAAGTCTATTGGGCATCCTTAAATCTATTACTCTATTTGAAAATTTCAGCCACATAATAAGAAAAAGCATCACTGAACAGTGGCTTTCTCTGCACTGTGCAATTCTTTGTGTGTCAGAACTTGGGAGCTGAGATGTGGAAATAGGAAAGAAAAGAGAAGAAATATTCCCAATAGGAGGAGATGGTGGGGAAAGCTCAGAGGACAATGCAATGAAAACAGTATCAACGTAATGATATGCAGAGGAACTGGTGGAATGGTAGTCAGGGTTAGAGACACGCGAACAAACTGAAATGGAGAAGAAACATTACAATTCAGCGATGGTACGCCAGCTAAGGTCACTGGTAGCAAATGGGATCTGCACTCAGTGATCCTGAATGAAAGCCACACAAATAACAGTGCACGGTGGCCAGGAAAGATACACGTCTCATTTTTTGCCATTATCAGCAATAATCAGAAAATTAAATCGAGGGAATATGCTTGTTTGATGCTGTGTTCTCCCTCTGGGCTATTTTGATCCTTCCATGGAAATACAGTAGTGTAACTCTGACAAACACTTGCTGACCATCAGTAATCTTAGTGGCTCAGAGCATGTGAATGAGTAGCTGTAAACCTGCCCTTGACCTTCTCAACCTGCGAGGTAATTTCACATGGTTTTGTGGCATGGTTCACATTCGAAACAGCCCTCAGAGGTGACCTATACCAGCAGTGAGTTTGTTAAGCACTGCTTCCCTATCATTTGAAGACTGTACCTGAACATGGGCACATTTTTGGAAAGCGTACACAAACATCACAACTGTTTGGCAAACATACCCAAACACTGGCAACACTGAAGGAACACTAACACTCTCATTACATCCATGCTTCCTAGAGCTGATGAGATTAATGGTGTTGGAAGTGTACACAATAAGGAATTGGTTCTGTATTCAAAGACTAATGCTCCTTAAAACTCTAGGTTTTGCATAAGGGTCATCTCCAAAATATGTTTTTTTCATTCCACAAAACATATACTTTCCTTTTATGTTAAACCTGACAGCCTAAATTAAATAAATTTTATTGTATTAATCCTGAGCAAGCAGAAGAGTAACGATGCATCATTTAACTCCTATTCCAAGAATTAAAACTACTACTATTAAAAAAAAAATAATGCAAGCTTACCTCCACCCTTTTTCTAGCACAGAACTGAATCCAGTCTAGATAAACGCTGCAGAAACTAGCTCTTGTTATTCCTTGGAGACACGGAACATAATCTTCATCTATGTTAATGTTAAACATTGCAAGGTCACGTTCAATATAATGCCACTTTGCATAAGGCTGCAATATCTTTTGGATGGATTCGTCTTTTATCCAGTCAAGGATTTTGGGAGAAGTTGCTGTAAAGTATATTATGCTCTGTTGACAAAACATGCAAATGTTAGTCACTCTATCTCTGAATAAAGCAGGTATATTTTACACAGAAGAGAATAAATCAAATAGGACCACATTAACTACCCATAAGGGTACATATTTTTTGTATTTTTTTACTGCTTGGTATCATTGCTTCACAAAACTGTTCAAGTTGGAAAGATGACAATAATTGATATGTAAATAGCAGACAACAGAAAAAGAAGTAATATTTCTAATACCCTTCTGCCTTACAGGAAAATTAAAACAAACAATAGACTATGGTAATAATCTAGAGTTCCAGCATTCAAACGTGTTAATTATGATGATTAGTAGGGTTCTAGAGTCTCTCACCAAGAAGGGTGATATTAATAAAAGTTTAGGCATATTTTGAAAAAACAGTAGTAGATGGTCACATCCTCAAAATGAGACTCCCTGTTTCCTCCATGGACTTCTGTTTTCTGGAGATGAAGCTTTCCTAATTCTTTAACAAAAACAGTTCCACCACGATCTAACCACAAAGGTGAGATTTGACAGATGTGTACAACACAAGTCTGAAAACCTCTATTTTAATTACTTTTTTCTTTCTGCATTTAGTAGCATCACTATTTTTGTTATTTGTCCACGAGGCCAGTAAAGAATAATGGATTTTTTCTTATATGTGATGTTAAGAAAGTAACTCATGTAACTGAGTTTGCTTTTAAAGCACTGAAGGAGGAGCAGCATTCAGTAGGAGCTCTCTTACCAAATGCAAAAATATTAGAAAGCAGCAACGCTCATATCTCGTATCTGTGCCTGAGTTTCTACGTTTAAATTCTTCTAACCACTGTATCTGGAGCCATTAAAATAAGAATAAATACAACAAAATAAAATAAAAATTTCAAAAAATAATCTATCCAAACCAAATTTAAAGCATATTTTCAAAAGCATATGAGACTTAAGGAGACCTTCCAGTGCTGCAAAGGAAAGTGGCATCAGCTTGAAAGTCCCCTTATCATGTTTTATTATTATAATTTTTGTTTTAAGAGAAGATATTAATTTAGAATTGGATTCCAAAGCAAACGAGGGGCAAGTGAACATGACTGAAGATGATGTAGTTCTACTTTACCCATGGAATGGAAATATTATTAAGCAAATAAATGTATTAAATGAAAATATGATGGATTAAAAAGGGCAGAAGCACCACCCATCCTTTTAAAAATTGTAGATGCCCCACACAGTTTATTTTTCAAATTGTACTAAAATACACAATCAAGAGGAAAATTAAGCTCCAGAGGAAAAAACAAGTCAGACAGGTACAGACTGAGGATGGACCTTTACTATCTTGGCACGTGGAGAACAATACACTCTTTTTAAAAAAAGATTCATGCAGAAACCATAGGATCTGAAAACACAGCACTCAGCGAATGCAGACTTCTTGAATACTAAAACAGGTTTAAATAAGAATATATTGAGAAGACATAGAGGAGGCACAAGGGAAAAATATCACAGTAGTTGGGCAGGAAATGATTTCAAAATATATGCAGAAGGGCTACAGGAGATGACCCACTTTATTTGTGGAGAATAAAAATCCTTTTATAAGAAGAAATACAGGCCTTTCTAGGCTGTCAATGAAACTGCAAATGAAATAAATGCATTAGGAATAAGATGCTCAGTGCAGCTCATTGTTTAAAAGACGAATATGGTAATTATTCTTGAAGGACAGGAGAACTGAGACAAGCACACTTTTTCTTCGTTGATCTTCAAAATAGAGTTTGCTTTTTTAATTATTCTTACCTGTGTTTACAAAGAAGCAAACTCAGCTGGGAAAAAAATCAGTCGCAATTGGACATAGAAATAGCAAAAAATTCTGCCACCTAATTAAATTCTGCTCTTAGTAGCTCTGCTTAGATATTGTTTGTGCACAAGTACATCCTCAGCTATATGGCAATTCAGAAATAATATGGTAAATATTTATAATATTGTAAGCTACAAAGAATAAACTAGAAGCACTCCAAATGCTCAGTGCAATGGAAGTGCTGTTGCTGCTGAAACTCCAGCTCAAATGTTTGCGGACTTTGTGATTTATGTGACCCGAATACTGCATTAACTAGAGTTCTTCTTACAATTAGTTTCCTATGCCATTAAAAAGAAAGTGTCAAGGCTTTAAAACGTTCACAGTGAAATTGCACAGGGACTTTACAGCTCGAGATTCCCCCATAGGAAAGAGCTGGGAGGGAATGAATTCCCACCTCTGTTTCTGGTATTATCTTGAGGTAGGTACTACACAAACAGGTTGGAAGCTAATCTGATACATAATATCATCTTCTCACCTTCCAAGGCTGTACTAAGGATTTTACCAAACCTTATCAAAGCTCCTGTTTATGGAAGAAACTAACAACTTGAAGAATAGGAGAAGAAAATCTCCATATAGGTTTCTTTTGGGAAGTGTCATTCTAAAGAAGGGATCTCCTGAGCACACTCTCCCTTCGCTGAACGGTGCCTCAGCCCAGGCCAATATCAAAGCTGCCAACAGAATATTATCTGCTCCCTAAGAAGAGAAGTAAAGGACTGACACATTTCTGAGAATGCAGATCTGTCAGTGCAGCATTATAGTACTGGCTTGACTAAATCCCCCCAAAATAGATTCAATTTTCACACCTTCAAAGCCATAGCTGGTGGACATAACAGAACCTGCACACAGTGGAGATGGAGCCACAGCATACCTCAGTAGCGTGGAGATTGTTTAACCCACCTCCCTTTTACTCAAAACAGGATCAGTTAACCACACCTGTATCGTATGGGACAAAAGCTTGCCTAAGCAACCATACCTATGTTGGCTGCTCCACAGGTATGTCCAGAACCAGAAGCCCTACACTACCTTTCCTTTAAGTCTTACTTCCCATGTGATGAACCTCACACATTCCACAAGTCCTCTACATATTAGCTGACTTGAAGGCACTAAAAATGTTTCAGTTTACAAAGCACAATTCTCCACTGCTTTAAACTAGTAAGCTGCTGATCTGATTGCAGCTTAGACTGGGATGTTTTTCAGTCTCGTTCACCATCAAAAGCTGAGTCATATCTCAGCTTGCATCAGTTTATGTTCAGGTTATCCGGGTTACCTTCTAATGTAAAATGAAGTAATTGTAGCAACATATTCATTGTGTTTAAAGAAGGTTTTTGGGGTTTTTTTTTAGTTTAGATACATTGCTTAAAAACAATTTAATTTATAGCCAAAAAAACCACTTCTAAAATGAAAAAATCATGCTCACATGCAGTTTTGTTTCTAATTAGTTAATTAAACAAAGCAGGTTGGTTACCAGGCCCTACTGCTTGTAAATTATTTATGAAATCCCACTCTGCATTTTACAAAGTAATTGACTGCATGATCAAAGCAGCTTCATGAGGCAATGATCTTGTTCTTACTGCATTGGCTCACTTGCAAAAAAAGGTGATTAATTTATTTACAACAGGTCTCTAACGTTGACAGGATTTTTACAATTGCAGAGATGTAAGCAGGAAGGAGATGTCAGGGATGGTTGGCATCTTTAGTGAGTAGCTTTGCGGCAGTACCAGTGGCACAGGAGGTAGCATTTGGTTCTTGTTGCTTCAGCAGAAGACAATAAAGCTCAGCGATTTCTTCGTTTGCTGGACTCGGAAGGCTTTGGCAGAGGATGAGGATGTCTTGCTAGACTATAAGGTTCAATTATTTTGACAAATTAATATCTGTGTGGTCATTGTGATCTTAATAACAGAGCAAATTTAGAAGTGATGTAAATGAATTGCTGTTTAATCAATGGAAAAAAACAGCTTCAAATGTGTTGTAGCATCTATGTAAAACAGCAGGTAAGAAGGGGGTTTGCGCTACTAAAAAAAATATATTTGAGAAACAGTTCTTCAGAGATTTCCCAAGAACTTTCTGCTTATCTTTTTTTTTTTTTTTTTGCCAGAAAAAGCAGTGGAAAGGCCAAGTCAAGAAGAAATAACAAACTGTCAGTGAAGTTTTGCTTTATAAGAATGCTTCCTCTGACTTTATCGCTAGAGGATCTTAACTCACCTTCTTGATTTCTGCTTAAGCATTGCAGCAATTTTGTGTACTAACTGTAAATATAAGTGGTCAGACTAAAATGTAGCAAAGGGAGATATGAATTAATTATCCCTATCTCAACATCAAGTCAGTCTGACTGCTGGTACTGAAAATGAATAAAGCCAAAAACTTCAAAAGCTGTTTCTAATACACAGCCAGCATTCATTCTTTTTGCCAAACCTCCCTATGAACATAGTCCACTTTACCAAAGAGTTTACCTTTATATAGTATCTGATAAGTATTCTCCGCAGATCGAACACTTGCAGCATGGTTGCAGCGTTGTTATCAATGATGCTATATCCTTCCAGGATGTACTGTGTTCGTGTTATTTCCCATGTCAGCCATCGGAGGTTAAAGGCTGCATTACACGATAACAAGTGAGGCAAGTGCCCGGGCTTACAACAGCAGCAGCCTTCATTGTCTTCATCTCCTTCTGTTATAGCTTCCACTTCTCTCTGCTGGCAATATGTCCCTTGGCAGTGAGAAAAAGAGAGTGTGCTGCCAGTTATTGGGGGGAGGAGGAAACAAAGGACTTCTTCTAAGCTGCAAAAGTATGATTGAAGGCTCTATGCACTTAGTAAAAATCTAATCGAAAGAGCTACGGCAACAAATTAAATGTGCCAATTGATCCATGCATGGCAGCAAATAAAGAGCTGTACATTATTTATTTACCTACCTTATTTCACCTACAAAAGCCAAGAGTGCCTGATCTAACATTCTAGGCATTTGGCTCTGAGCTGAGCTCAACTACAGACTACAGCTTCTGCCTTAATAAAAACTCACCAGGAAGCAACACTAAGAGTCTCGCTCCATCAGGAACATCAAGCAAATTGATCCAAGTCTCAGTCTGCTTCTTCAAATAACATACAGGATGCAAACAGAGTTTTTACAGTGTGTCAGAGCACTTATAAAATCTGCGTTTTAGTGGACTGTCTTGGAAAGCAGGTTCCAAAAATAACATCCAACGGGTTGTTCTCTCTCCCACTGGAGTAAAAGCTTCTCTGGATCAAACACCTCTAATGAATAGCACTAGTGGCAGCATATCACGGGGACAGAACAGCTTTCTAATTAGCCTATTACACAGGCTTTACATCAAAATAGAGTAAATCTTCCTGAAAAAGAGATGTTAACTCAAAAAGAAGTCATGAGGCAGATGCAGAAACAATAATGCATCTGCTCTGCAGACTGCATTTCTGGCCTGTGCCGTGCACACTAGAAGGTCAAGCTGAGCCCATCAGGATTTGTAATCTATGAAAATGTGGTTTCTGCACCATGTAGGGCACTACAAATCAAAACCAAGGTGGGCACCCATGTGCTCCCCCACTGTTCCCAAAATATATGAGTTATATGTTCTTGATGCATGGATCTTTTAAAAAAACTTTACCCTCTGTGGGCTGTTGCTGAACTTACTCTCCACTGAATTTGTACATAAACCATCTTTCAAGGCCATCTCCTATGATGCAAGTTACACATACGTTGTGCATGGGCCTTCTGCCAGC